CATAGGTTCGCCACCATGGATCTAGAGGAACTTAGACAATTTCACAGGATTATAGTACTATTATCATGGCATTATCTACTCTTATTATGGCATTACCTACCGTATATGCCGGCGTATAAGGCGACCTGGCGTATAAGACGACCCCCGTCTTTGGCGCCGAGTCGCATGCCTAGAACGTCATCTTATATGCCGGAAACTACCAGTATTTCTGGCGTATAAGACGACTTGGCGTATAAGACGACCCCTGACTTCGGCGCCGATTTTAACACTTGCGGAGGTCGTCTTATACGCCGGAATATACGGTACTCTTATCATGGCATTACCATAGGTTTCAATAGGCACTCATATACACATAGTATGGTCTCTTTATAGGCAGGCAACCTTTTACCCATGGCTCATATTTTGGGGGAAATAATTGCTGGGTAAAAGGAGTAGTAATTCAATTTTTTCCTTTTGTAGAGAACAGGAAGTTTATTGTTCTGTAAACTTCAGAAGGTGTCATAATTCACAGGCCATCCAGGCACTAGCTGGATAAAGGTTACCAGAATGGTCAATACTGTATTGACCCCTAAAGGTCAATGGGACTATCCAAGAAGCTGTTGTTATTATCATCATTATTCTTTGTAGTACTAATAGTTAAGGTATTATTAAATTATTTTATATATACTAAATGTTTGGGAGTTGATGGACAATCTGAAACTTCATGAAGGGCTCAATGTGCTGAAGAGTTTGGGCGAGGTAATAATAATAATAAGAAGAAGAAGAAGGAGAAGGAGAAGGAGAAGAAGAAGAAGAAGAAGAAGAAGAAGAAGAAGAAGAAGAAGAAGAAGAAGAAGAAGAAGAAGAAGAAGAAGAAATACCATAAAGGCAATCAACACCTGGGCAATCCCAGTCATTAGGTACACAGCTGGAATAGTGGACTGGACTCAAGCAGAACTAAAAGCAATGGATAGGCAGACCAGAAAAATAATGACAATGAATCATGCCCTTCATCCACGCAGTGACATTGATAGACTTTATCTACCAAGGCAAATAGGTGGGCGTGGAATGCTACAAGTACATCAGATGGTTGAAGAAGAAAAAATGGCTTTGGAAGAATATCTGAAGAACAATGATGAAGATGCACTGAAATTAGTATATCAGGAAGGCTTACTAACTACTGGAGAGACCAAACTGGCCTACAAGAAAGACCAAATGAAGAACAGAATAGAGGCTTGGGAAGACAAAGCACTACATGGCCAATAATGAAAAAAATAGCTGGGAAAGCAGATAATAATAAAACCTGGCAATGGCTAAGAGCAGGAAAATTGAAGAAAGAGACCGAGGGACTAATTCTGGCTGCACAAGACCAAGCCTTAAGGACAAATGCATACAAAGTCAAAATTGAGAAGACAGCAACAGACAGTAAGTGCCGCCTATGCAAAGAAGCTGAAGAAACAGTGGACCACTTGGTAAGCTGTTGCAAGAAGATTGCACAAACTGATTACAAGCAGCGCCATGACAAAGTAGCAACAATGGTGCATTGGAAGATCTGCAAAAAATATCATTTGCCTGTAAGCAAAAACTGGTGGGATCATAAAATAGAGAAAGTCATAGAAAATGATAAAATTAAACTGCTCTGGGACTTCAGAATTCAAACAGACAAGCACCTGCAACATAACACCCCAGACTTAACAATTGTCGATAAGAAAGACAAAAAAGTCTGGATAGTGGACGTGGCAGTGCCTGGAGACAGCAGAATGACGAGAAAGAACTGGAGAAGATAACAAAATACAAAGACCTACAAATAGAAATAGAAAGACTGTGGCAAAAGCAAGGGTAGTACCAATAGTCATAGGCTCCTTGGGTGCAATCCCAAAACAACTGGAGCACCACTTGAACACCATTGGCATTGACAAATTCGCTATTAGTCAATTGCAAAAGGCGGCCTTATTAGGAACTGCTTCCATCCTGCGACGATATCTGTAATACCATCAAACATCCACATCTGCCTATCCCAGGTCCTGGGTAAGGACTTGATAGGTAGACACAATGCCAAATCCAGTCTGAACATCTGGCTGACTGTGCGATGATCGATAGTAATATAATGTTGGAAGGGACCTTGGAGGTCATCTAGTCCAACCCCCTGCTCAGGCAAGAAACCCTATACCATTTCAGTCTCTTCTTTAAAACTTCCAGTGTTGGAGCATTCACCACTTCTGGAGGCAGGTTGTTCCACTGGTTAATTGTTCTTACTGTCAGGAAGTTTCTCCTTAGTTCTAGGTTGCTTCTCTCTTATTAGTTTCCATGATGGTGAAAATGTTGCAATTTTCCGACTGATCAGCTGGAGGGGGAACACTGATTGGTTCCTTATTTTCTCTGAAGCATCAGTATAAGTGAAGATAATCACTCTGGATGGTCTGAAAGCTTCAAATGCTTTGGGGGATTCAGGAATGGAAGTAATGAAAATAATAGAGGTGGAAGCGCCCTCATTCTATAATTATGGCAATGTGGAAGCAGCCACTGAGATGAAACGATATTTCCAAATTCTACATTCAGTGTGCAGGAGAAAGGGGAACTTAATTAGCAATTTGGAGGAAGGGCCAACAAAGAATCTTTCTGATGTTTACATTTAGAGGGTTATGTCCTCCAGCAGGGCTGGCATGCTCACATGTAGATGGGGCAAAGCAGAAACCACCAATATTTTTTAAGACATAAGGTTCGGCAAGAATTAATAAAAAGCTGGAATATAGTTAAACATCAATATTACACAAAGATCCCAGCTTGGCTATCGCCATTGGAGGCAGTCACATACCCCAATTTGTACAGGATAGACAAAGCTATTATATATAAAGACATCTTGACAGAAGAAGGTTATTTAAAACAAAAACAAGAGCTAAAACAACAAGGAACAAACATGGAGTGGTGGTCTTATCTCCAGATACAAGCAAGATACAGGAAGGATAAGCAAGAATGGGGAATTAACAGGCAAGATACGGGGTTAGATAAAGTACTGCTAGGCCCGGAGAAAAAACAAATAAAGAATATTTATAAACACCTGTTGGAACATAAGCTATATGAAGAGCAGATTAAAGAGACAATGGTGACATGGGCAATAGAACTAGGATATAATATAAATATGGATCAATGGCAGCAATATGGGAGCGAAATAACAAAATCACAGTGGCGACATCAGATAAAGAAAACCTGTATAAAATGGTTTACAGATGGCATCTCCCTCCGGCCAGATTAGCCAAAATGTGTAACGGATATTCATCTAGTGTTGGAAATGTAAAAAAGAAAAGGGCACCTTTTTTCATGTACGGTGTACATGTAGAGAAGCACAGGTGTACTGGCGTATGGTCTGGGATTGAGCAATAGAAATGACTAGGCAAAACATTCAATACAAACCGGAGACCTTACTATTAGGAATACTAAAGAAAAATGTAAATAAAGAGGACACATATTTAATTATCCATGTGGTCACAGCAGCAAGGATACTATTTGCTCAAAAGTGGAAAGAATGGAAGTATCGAGTTGGGAAGCACTAATAAAGAAAATTATGTATTGCGCAGAACTAGATAGGATAACTAAAAGATTAAAAAATCAGAAAGAAACAGAATTTTATCGAATATGGAATAAATTTTATAGATGGAGGGAAAGAAAAATGGAGGTCACAGTAAAGAGATAAACTGAGAGACTAGAAATGTATAGTTGTATATTATATGTAATTAATGTACAATATGGACTGAGATGTCAGTCAAAGATGATTTACCATGTTCAATGTTTTTAATCCTTTTTCTTTCTTTGTACTTAATAAAAAAAAAAAGAATCTTAGAACATATCTCTTCAGGGAAAAAGTGTTTAGAAAAGAACAATTCTAAGTGAATAGAGAGGTAAAGTCCTTCCAATTAATTTCCACCACAGTGGAATGTTTGACTTAGTTCTGAGTGGCTTCTCAGAAGTTCCTCTGATCCAGCAATATTTCTAGGAATTGCTAAAGGGAAAAATCTGGTTTGACCAAGTGAAACATGAAGGAAATCCTGCTGAGTGTGGATTGATAGCTACTTTTTGTGAACCATCAAAGGCCGAAATAGGGAAGCTCCTGTTCTCCAGTTCAGTTTGAAACATGAACAGTTTGAGGGGAAAGGTCTGCAAAGCCTCCATAGCAACTTTTTCTCACAACTCAGCTGTTTCAGGTTCTCTATAAAGGGCAGGAGACAGCGCTGCAGGGAATCCCCAACAGCTCTTTGTGGGCTCTCTCAGACTACTCAGCTGAGCAGGCAGATAGGTTTGCAAACAGGATTGTAGCAGGAAGAAATGGCCAGGTAGTGGAGGAGATGGGCCCCGGCAGCAGAGGCTTGTGGGTTAGATGGGGAGATCCTGAACTATACTGTTTCACAGGCTGCAGGATCATATCATGTATGCTCCTGGGGAAAGTCAACAAAAACGGTTCTTTTTAAACCTGTGACTCATTAAAACGAGCTGCAAATGTTTTCTGTTCCTCCTCCCCCCAAGAATTATATCAGGGAAGTAATCAATATTAGTAACATATAATCCTTCCTCCTCCCTCCCAAAACAGTGGCATTTTTTTAAAATATGAATATGAACATTATACCCTACATGTTAAGTTAAACTTATCTGTTAAAATTTCCACTTCCATTTTAGAATAAGCAAGTTCTTTTTCACAAGGATCAATCTAATGTAGACATCAGTGTGCAATCACCTCCCTTAAGAGATGCAGAAAGAAGATGGGATTTTTATCCCTCAATCGGGGAAAAGGAGGAGGAGGAGGAGGAGGAGTCCCCAATATTCTCCCACCAGCCATATATATATATATATATTTTTTTAAGGAGAGCAGCAGCACTAGATGTTCCATCTCAGTAGCCTGTTGTCCTTACGGTGTGGATTGGCTATTGGCATCTTTCTGCCCCTTATTTTGGACAAGAGCATTGCTTGGTAGGGAACAGGCAGGTTTTGGTGAGATGATATTAATGCTAAGTACTCATTATTTTCTACAGTTCAAGAGAGACAAAAAAACTTTGCTGCGGAAGGTTGGTTCATTGGATTTATCAGTGCCATTGTCCTCCTCATCCTGGTTCTGGTGCTCCTCTGCTTCATCAAGCGCAGCAAGGGCGGCAAGTACTCGGGTGAGGTGCCCCCAGCCCCACCCTAGCACCTCGTGGCAGATCCCCATGGGCCTCCCCCCAGGCTATTATCAGTTATCAGTTATATAGCACACTTAGTGTGCCCGGTGCCGTTCGTCCTCACAACAGTCCTGTGAGGTAGGTTGTTATCGTTCCCATTTTACAGAAAAGAAGCTGAGCCTCAAAAGTGGGGCAGTTTATGATGAGCTCAACGTTTGACTCTTGTGTCTCAAGTTAACACTTGAGCTGCTGGTCTGGGCTAGATGCATTTAAGCCAGACTTCCTGAGCTGGAGTCATCTTAGATATACTACCACATTCATAACTGCCTGCCAGGTTGGCACAAAATGATGGGTTTTTAGCCCAGCAATCAGGAGAGCACATCAGGCTCGGGATAGTGAGCTAAAAACATGGTGGGAAAATATTGAAGATATTATAGACATAGCTGTGCTATCTGCTTAATCTGGTTTAATGATTAGTATGCCTATGCCTAGTAAAGCAAGCTGGGAAACATAGCGGGTGAGAGCTCTTCTACCAGATTCTCAGCATTTCTAAATCTACAACTCCCATCACTCCTTGCCAAAGAAGATGAGAAAATATGTTTGTTCTTTTCAATTCGGGAATAAAAAGGTAGCCTTGAGCAGAAAGACAAAAAATAAATCAAGATGATGATGACAGTAATAGTGGTACCAATAGTACAACACAGCTATTGTTCTTATAGCACTATTGCTTCTTTTTATAATGCTTCAAAAATGTCTTAAAAAACTGTCCAGAGATGATGATGGATTAGTCTACTTTGATCTTTTCCAGTGCTGTGTCTTTCAGAGGTGTAAATCACTCGTTTTCTAGCCAGTACTGCTACTGAATATTCTTTCTGTGAGCGTTGGGAGTTGTAGTTCTCATGCATCTGGAGGGCCCATGGTTGGGAAGGCTGTGGTACAACATGGGTGGATGTGTGCTTCTTCACAACAGTCTCTTTAACCTCCTAACACTATAGGGTTGCTCTTAACTCCCACCCACTCACATCTTGCTGGTTATGCCCCTATTTCAAGAAGGTAAAGAAAAATCTGCCCCACAGAGAGACCGTCCTCTGTTCTTTTCCATATTTTTAAAGCTTCCCCCTCATTGCTTCTTGGAAGATCCCCCTGCCCACCTCCCTTCCCAAGGTCCCACTCTGGATGGCCCTGCCCACCAACCCTTTTGCCTTGTGTAACATACTCTCTTTTCTACCCTAGTGAAAGACAAAGAAGACACGCAGGTGGATTCGGAGGCCAGGCCCATGAAGGATGAGACCTTTGGAGAATACAGGTACAATAAGTCATTGTTGCTTTTCATGGCTAGCAAACAGTAAATTAAACCAAGTAAATGACACACATAGTTCCTTTATTTTATAATATATACCACTTTCATGATCAGTTGGGATTATCTTGACACAAATTTGTATGGTTTGGGTACAAATTTAGCCCTGATTATTTAAGTCTTTGGGGTTATCAGTCATAGATTTAGGGAGTGAGGAAGCAGTAGGACAGCACGACAAGAATGCAAAAATGACAGAGGGGAAAATGAGACATTTTCCACAGATTCTAAGGAAAAGCACATTAACTTGCCAACAGATGGTTAATGTTGGGAAGGGGCAGGAAAAGATACAGTGATTTAATACATTTATGACACCCTGTCAGCAAGTTTTTGGTGGCTTGGTATACCAGGGCAGCAAAAAAATCTAAGTATTATTCACAGTGCATCAATAGATGGCTGCGGTTATCAAGACTGCTAAATTATGCTCATGGGTATCAAATGATAATAAAAAGGACAAGGATTAGCAATGAACCAAAGGAAAGGAATTTCATAGTGTTTCCACTTTATATGTATGTATATATATATATTTGTGTATATGAATGCATCTGAATGGTGCCAGGATTTCTTGGTGCCTTCCATTTCTCTCTTTTGACCTCAACTTACCTTCCTTGAAATGTGATGTTACTTTTTTTCTTTTTTCTCTAATCTCCTCTGCCTTTTACTTGACTAACCCAGGTCCCTGGAGAGGTAAGAACGCAAGGGGTAAACACTGAATTTTTCACTGCATGTTGATGGGGAAGATGAGGTTAGACGGGCCACGACAACATTTCCCATTGGCATGCTTCTGGATTTCACTGACCTTACCATATCAGGGAGAAAGAAAAGCCATTTCCATAAAGCGAATTTCAGAGTAATGTTGCTTCTCTTGCCTTAATTAATGGGGGGGGGGAATCCTAAAAATGGCTAAGGATAATTTTAAGACAATTCTTTTCTGTTTCTACTATCCAGTGAACAGCAGTGGCAAGAGGAATATTTCACATTAGAAAGAATATTGATTAGGGACTACATATGAAAATGGCTTTTAAAATTTCAGAATACAGTCTTCCCTAAAATGTCATTTGCCAAGATTCTCCACCTTAGTTGCAGGTAGACTGAAATTTAGTTTGCTGTCCCTGAAGTAAATGCATTTGATCCCTGACATCTTTTTCAAAGAATCTTCTCCTTTCCCTCCAGAGGAAACATAAAATATAATCAAATTATTAAAAGAAAATACTGAGATTTCATACTTCAGGGTTGCCTTGTTACCTTTTTTATGTTTCTGTGTGTGGATATACGTGCCTAAGGACCACAGAGCTGTCTTTCGTAATATGAATGTTACCTTTCTGTCTTAAACCAGAATTCTGATTTCCATTCTCTGGAAAGCAGATTTTGTTAAGAATGGAAAGTCAGAAAAAGAACTGTCACACTCTTCGAACAATCCCAAATCTTCTACCAGGTTATATTGCAGCAATAAGAAAACGTAATAGAGTCCTTGGTGCTCTCTAAGCGTGGTGGTTTGCTTGCAGATATTTCATTATCAAACTAAATAACATCGTCTGCAGATGATGTTACCTAGTTGAGTGAATGAAACATCTGCAAGAAAGCCACCAAGCTCAGAGAGCACCAAGGGCCCTGCACAATTCAACCCTGAGCTACAAATATTCTCTTCTATCGGTACAATGATGTTTGCTGAGTATCTTTGGTGTATGTGCAAAATGTATGTGTGGATGAGCATTATAATGCTTTTGGGATAAAAGTGATCAGTGCTAATTGTACATGGTTTGTCCTCCCTCTCTTTCTCATTATCTCCATTTCATGAAGTTCATCAATGATTAGATTTAGGTAACAACCTTCCCTTTCCCTGCCTGCCTGCCTGCCTGCCTGCCATAACTTGCTATTTTCCCTCTAATTTATCTCCCTTGGGTACCAAAATTGTGTCCAGCCAGCTGCCCACCCCAGTTGGATCTCAAAGGTAGGGATACTGGCTGGCAGCCCCTCTTTGGAAAATCCCTGGCAGATGCTGTGCAGTCTGTCTGCTTCTCTCTGCTAAATTCATATAGTCCTCTTTCTAGTACTGGGTCAGTCTGCCCAGCCTTTGACTTGATTTAGTACTCATTTGCAAGAGCTTCCTGGGTCTAAAAGGAGCTTCTTCGGTGGTCCTTTGGTTCTACTAATTTCCACATCTGCCTGTTGATTCTAAATGCTAATCAAACATATTTGGCTGGATCCTTTTTTGTTCTGTTTCAGTACTCTCCTCCACACATGTTCAAAGGGTTTCCATTTAAGTTTATGCACATCCTTGCATGCTTATTGGCCAGTGGAACTTGGAATTCAGAATCCTAATTCTGCATGCTCCCTTTTTTCATATTGGAGTCTTCCTCAGCCAGTGAGGCAAAACTGGACATTTTAGAGTGGGGTAAATCCAAGCTCTCTGACAGGTCCGTTATTTGATATCTGTTCCTAGGTGTGTTCTTTTTTGATGAAACTACTGTAAACTTTGATGCCCCTTGGTGTACAACTATCTTCTTTGAAGTACAGGCTTTCCTTCACATGGGGACCATGTCTGAGTTCTAATACTTTTTTTCTATTTCATTCCATGATTGTACACCCATCACTTTAAATATGCATTGCTGTTCTTGTAAATCTGCACAGCAGCACTAGGAAACATTGTGTTGATTTTTCCAGGCTTGAAAAGCCAGTCTAGATGTACAGTATTTGTGTATCTTAAGCACATGGGGTCAGTGTAATAGCATGGCTAGAGGGTTAGGAAAGTCAGGTTCAAATCCCTACTCAGCCAGGCAGTAATGTGAAGGCAGTTGTTATCTCAGACCTCACAGGGTTATCGTGAGCTAAATTGTGTACCCAGGTGTGAGATGGAATAACTTTTTTATACATAAGTTCCTGGGAAAAAGGTGGGGTCTTAATAAACTAAAAGTAGGCTTATCTTTGCCCAGAAAGCACATAGGTTGAGCACTGTTCCATACTGCTGCATTTGCTCCTTTTCCCCATTTAAAATTCCCCAACCAGATGAGGTTTTCACAACTCACATATAAAAAACAAGAAAAAAGTTAAGGAAATGATTGGTCCATTAATGGGAGAAAGTGGCAAGAAGGTGACAAGCAACAGGGAGAAAGCAAAACTATTTAACTCGTTTTTTGCATCTGTCTTTACACAAAGGAAAAAACCAGTCCAACCTATCAAAAACAGTACTGTAAAAAACAGATTAGAAACATGTTAAGATAGGCAAGAAAATCGTAAGAGAGCAGGGCTTTTTTCTCATAGAACGCTCAGAATGGAGTTCCAGCACCTTTTTTGGATGGAACCTTATAGGGTAGGCAAGGCGGGTTGTATGACGTGTGAGTTCCGGCACCTTTTTTTTTTTTTTTTTTAGAAAAAAAGCACTATAAATGAGCACCTGTCCACCCTAGACTAGTTCAAATCACCAGGACTAGATGGATTACATCTCAAGGTTCTGAAGGAACTGACAAATGTGATCTCAGAACCACTGAACTATATTTTTCAAAGATTCTGGAGCACTGGGGAACTACCAGAGGACTGGAAAAGAGCAGACATAGTTCCCATCTTCAAAAAAGGAAAAAAAATGGATCCAGGAAACTACAGACCTATCAGCCTGACCTCAATACCTGGGAAGATTCTGGAAAAGATAATCAAACAATGAATTAGCGAACACCTAGAGGCAAACAAAGTCATTACCAAAAGCCAACATGGGTTTGTCAAAAACAGATCATGCCAGACAAATCTTATTGCATTCTTTGACCAAGTGACAAAATTAATGGACCAGAGGAATGCTGTGGATATAATTATTTGGACTTCAGTAAGGCATTTGATAAAGTAGATCCCAAACCTACTATTTGATAAGATAGAAAAATGTGGGTTAGACAGCATCACCACCAGATGGATTCGTAGCTGGCTGACTGGCCGTATTCAGCGTGTGGTCCTCAATGGAACTGCACCTACATAGAGGGAAGTGTGTAGTGGGGTGCCCCAGGACTCTGTTCTGGGCCCAGTGCTCTTCAACATCTTCATCAATGATTTGGATGAGGGGATAGATGGAGAACTCATCAAATAGCCAACACTCCAGAAGATAGGTTTAAGATACAGAAATATCTTGACAGACTTGAACATTGGGCACTATCTAACAAAATGAAATTCAATGGTGAAAAAGTAAGGTTCTACATTTAGGCAAGAAAATCAAATGCACAGGTACGGTATAGGTCAGGGGTAGGCAACCCAAAACACTCAAAGAGCCACTTGGACCCGTTTCCCACCAAAAACAAAACACTGGGAGCCGCAAAACCCTTTTTATATCTAAAATGAAGATAACATTGCATATATCCTTTTTTACCTTTATTATAGGTGTGTGTATGTGTGTGTGTGTGTGTGTGTGTGTGTGTGTGTGTGCGTGTGTGTATGTGTATATGTGTGTGTATATATATACACACACACACACACACACATATACACATTAAAAATAAAAGTAAAAATATGACTCTTGGGAATATTCATACTATTAAAACAATGATCACCAAGAGAATGCTTTAAGAGAATAAAATTACATACACACACAGGTAAAAAAAGGATATATGCAGTGTTATCTTCATTTTAGATGTCAAAAGGGTCTCTCTCTCCCTCCCTCTCTATCTGCCCTTGGTCTGCCACTCCTCTTCCCCCACTCTCTCTCTCTCTCCTCTCTCTCTCTTTCTCCCCCCCCTCCTATCTGCTGCTCACCTGGCAAGTTTCAAGCTGTTGTCCAACAACCTCCGGGGTAGGCAACCTCATCTCTTTTATGACTCATGGACTTCAACTCCCAGAATTCCTGAGTCAGCCTAGCTGGGCTAGCTAGCTCTCTCCTGCCCTTCCCTTCCTGCTTCCTTCAGAGACGCAGCAAAGGGAGGAGCTCCGCCCAGAAAGCTTTTCAGCTCCTCGGAGAACACTGTGAGTGCACTCTCTTTTACACATACACACACACGCACATACACATACACACAAAACACACACACACACACCCAGACACACACACACACACAGAGAGAGAGAGAGAAAGAGAGAAGCAGGGAAGTGCAATTGCCTCTCTCTGTCTCTGTCTCTCTCTGCAAAGGCAGAGGAGGCTGGGAGCCACAGGGGAAGGCTCAAAGAGCCGCATGCAGCTCCGGAGCCGCAGGTTGCCGACCTGTGGTATAGGTAGTACCTTGCTCAATAGTAGTAACTGTGAGAGGGATCCCGGAGTCCTAGTGGACAATCACTTAAATATGAGCCAGCAGTGTGCTGCAGCTGCCAAAAAAGCCAACACAGTGCTGGACTGCATTAACAGAGGGATATAATCAAGATCACGTGAAGTATTAATACCACTTTACAATGCCTTGGTAAGGCCACACTTGGAATACTGCATCCAGTTTTGGTTACCACAATGTAAAAAAGATGTTGAGACTCTAGAAAGAGTACAGAGAAGAGCAACAAAGATGATTATGGAACTGGAGGCTAAAGCACATAAGGAACGTTTGCTGGAATTGGGTATGTCTAGTTTAATGAAGAGAGGACGAGGGGGGACATGATAGCAGTGTTCCAATATCTCAGGGGCTGCCACAAAGAAGAGGGAGTCAAGCTATTCTCCAAAGCACCTGATAAGAAGCAACGGATGGAAACTAACCAAAGAGAGAAGCAACCTAGAACTAAGGAGAAATTTCCTG